TTTTTTGAAAAAATTCTTTCTTATAAAAAAAAAAAAAAAAAAAAAAAAAAAAAAAAAAAAAAAAGAGGAAGGAAAATATTGATGTTGAGGAATATTTTCAAAGTTTGATGAATTAGACTCGTTGAATGATGCAATTTATTTAAATTCTAAGCTTTGCATTTTCTATGTTTGATCGGGACTACAAAATCTGCAGCTATTTGACCTATAGTTACGTTTTTCTTTGATATGTTCTATTCTTTAATTCTGGGAGAGCATTTTTTTGCTGCTTCTTTCAGTATTAATGATTATCTTCATTCTTCCAATTTTTATGTTGTCAATCACGTCTTCTTTGTTGGCTAGACATTATACAGTGCTTGGTAGTTTAAGGCATTATTTGTTGAATTACATGTATATATGTTGAATGATCACTATATATACGTGGAAGAAAATTGCTAAGAAAATTTGATTTTATTTTCATGTTTTTTCTATGACAGAAAAAGTTCAATGTTCAATTCAACGAAGCCGAGTGTTATAAAATCGACACTCAAAACAAAAAAGTGTACTGCCGATCAATCCAAGACAACAATTTGGGTGTCAGTGAAGAATTTAGTCTGGAATACGATTATCTGGTGATAGCCATGGGTGCTCGTGTGAACACATTCAATACTCCTGGTGTTGTGGAGCATGCACACTTTTTGAAGGTAAAAACATAATCAAGAAACCAGAGATGATTCAATTTTAAATCAGTAACTCATTTTCTATATGTAATACGGGGTCCTTGTATGCCGTCGAGATGGGATGTCTCTGAATGTCCACTTACTTTCAGCTCTCAACCTATTCTTTGGTAAACCTAACCGTGAATCATAATTGAGGGTTGACATATAGAAGCCTTCCAAATAAGAAGATGGCGAAAGAAGAGAAGGCAGGAAATGGCTCGGATAGGGATAGGCTTTCAGTAGATACTTAGGCACCCAATGACGATGAAAGGTGTAGTAATTGAAGAAATAGGGAAACCTTTGGAATTCTGTGGAATCTATTGGAAGGCGAAAGACTCATGGATCGGTTGGGTTTTGGGAGGTGGGTGCTAAACATTGAGCGCAAGGAAAACTAAATGAAGTGGCTAGGAAAGCTCTGTAGATTCTATATATTTATAATTATTTTATATCTGTATTATTTATTAATTGCATATATTTTTACTTGTATAAAGTGGAAAATGTTTGACATTTTTGTAGGAAATAGAAGACGCACAAAGGATCCGGAGAACGGTAATAGACTGTTTTGAAAGGGCTAGTCTCCCCACAATAAGTGAAGAGGAAAGGAAAAGAATCCTGCATTTTGTTATTGTTGGAGGAGGTCCAACAGGAGTCGAGTTTGCAGCAGAGCTTCATGACTTTGTGATTGATGATCTAGCCAAGCTTTATCCTACATTGAAGGATAAAGTGAAAATCACACTTCTTGAAGCTACAGATCATATTCTAAACATGTAATAAGATACTCAAATTAATCCTTCTAGTGCTGCCACCTTTTGCTTAAGTAGTATTATTTCTTCTTCTATTGGAGAAATAATTAGCGGACTGACTATTCTTAAATCTTTGCAGGTTTGATAAAAGAATTACTGTTTTTGCTGAAGAAAAATTCCAGAGGGATGGAATTGACTTGAAAACTGGATCACTGGTTACGAAGGTTTCTGATAAAGAAATATCCACTAAAGAGAGAGCCACTGGCCAAAATGTGTCAATTCCATATGGGATGGTAGTCTGGTCGACTGGTATAGGGACTCGCCCGGTTATAATGGATTTCATGAAGCAAATCGGTCAGGTTTGTTTCTTCAAATAATTTATCCTAATTCTAAACTTTCATGAAAATCTGTACTCTTGGACCTGTTTCAAACCATCTTCACTTTTGTCACTTGGAAAGCAGACAAACAGGCTAGTTTTGGCAACTGATGAATGGCTACGGGTGGAAAAATGTGATAGCATCTATGCTCTAGGTGATTGTGCTACAATAAATCAACGAAAAGTCATGGTATACATTTTTCAAATCTATCCATATGATTCCTGATATCTTTGAATTCGAGTTCTCATTTATGTGAATGCGCATATTCTGCAGTTTTGATATAATCATTCTTTATGTTCCGTAATGTCTATTACACTGAATACGATAACAAAAGTTTCTTAGGAAATCCTCATCCTAACATACTTTAAACTGAATGAATATTGTATCAACTAGATCGAGAATGAAACGACTCAACATTTTTATTTTAGGTCTAAATTTTTAGGTTTGAATTATACGATATGATGGGAATCTTGCTTTCTATATGTCAATAGAATACGTATTGCTTGAATGTGTTTAAGCATCGACTTTGATGTAGAAAAATTCATAAGACAACAGGCTATAGAAAAGGTTTGTCAAGTCCACTTCATCAATAGAGATTGTGGCAATGGCTAGAAAGCATTTCACACATTCTTGTTCTGATTTCTAACAATTGCAAGTTGTAAACGACAATTGTGATTATATAGGCCGGCAAATATGGATCTTGTGCTAGTTACTAATTTGCAAAATCTGTTGTGTTTCATTATGGTTGATTGTTTCCTTAACTTTTCATTTGTCATCAGGAAGATATTGCAGCCATTTTTAGCAAGGCAGACACGAAAAATACTGGCCGTTTAAAAGTTGAAGATTTTAAGGAAGTCATTAACGACGTATCCGAAAGGTATCCTCAAGTGGAAATCTACTTGAAGAAGAAACAATTAAAGAATTTTGTTCAACTTCTTAAAAATTCACAAGGCGATGATAAACTGGATATTGAAAAATTCAAAGCAGCACTTTCTGAAGTGGATTCGCAGACTAAAAATCTTCCTCCAACAGCACAGGTAACGTGAAATATATATATATATATATACATCTGCATTTCAAACTTAAGAGTGATTATTCTTACTTTTTTAATTTTAGGTGGCTGCTCAACAAGGTGCTTACCTTGCCGACTGTTTCAATCGAATGGAGATCTGCGAAAAGTATCCTGAAGGTCCATTAAGGTTCCGAGGATCTGGAAGGCATCGATTCCGCCCATTCAGGTAACTAGCATCAGATTTTATCCCAAAAGAAGTGGCTTGAGTGTTAGGCCGGAAAAAAAAAATCTATAAAATGAATATAAAGAAAATTAGGATGTTAAAATGGATAAGAAAAGAACGGATAATATATAATAAAAAGTGGATATTACTGGAATCGGTCGAGGGTGGTGTGATCTCAGTTTAAAAGGTTGAAAGACAACTGACATGCAATATAGTTGTAGGACACCCCAGAAATATTGAAAATTAGAATTACCTCATTGTTGCTCTTAAGGGGTTATGATGATACACAACTCGAGACATTTAGTATCGCAACAACAGAGGACGACGTTGAATTTTTCAACCCTTCAGTCAAGTCTAAGCTTTATTCAGTAACTTGTAATGACTGGAAGAGACAGTCAGACAGATTACATGTTTGTTGAATGATTGAAGGTACAAGCACTTGGGACAATTTGCACCATTAGGAGGAGAGCAAGCTGCAGCTCAACTTCCTGGAGATTGGGTTTCCATAGGCCATAGCTCCCAGTGGCTCTGGTACTCTGTGTATGCCAGGTAAATATATTCTCATTCATGCAACTCTCTCTCTTTCTATGTGAATGTTTATTCTGCTCTATCAACACGTTTGCCACTCCTTCAAAATCCAGCAAGCAAGTCAGCTGGCGCACAAGGATGTTGGTTGTTTCCGATTGGGGAAGACGTTTCATTTTTGGAAGGGACTCTAGTCGAATATGAGGTGCCATGAACGATCCATACATCAAAAAGGAGAATGAATTTTATACCATTTTTACAGACACAGCAGAGAAATTTTGTTGCATTTCGTTTTGGATCCCCAAATCTTGTTCAATTTTTCTGTTTAGTATTATCTTTTTTACGTTCATATTAACATTATAACTTGTCCACATGGATCAACATGATTTACCTTGGCTGAGACGTTAAAACCGAACACCAAAAGATACAAATCCAGTATGATTGCCTTATTTTTATGCCAAGTAAATTTGATAAACCTCTTGAGACACTTTCCTCCTATAATACAACCACCTCAAAACCAACGTGAACAGCAATTAGTTCCATTTTTCATTAGTATAATCAATGAATAACCTCTACGGCCTTTTATGTTTGAAACTAATGGCCACATCAAATTTTCAATAGTGTAAATGACGAATATGGACGGAGTGACTTGAAGTGCATGGAACAAATGGTGAACTCAAGTACCAATGTATGACAGAAACGCGCTGCATGATCCAAGTAAACTCTCACTTCAAGTTCAGCGATTAAGTGTTTTTAACCGTACCTTTGACAAAGAGAAGTACAATTTTTATATGAAATTATATATGAAAATTACATCAATTGAAACAACATAACAAAAAAAAATAAAAAAAGTACAATCTTATCGATGCTAACAGTTGGTAAATGAGGAATGCGCAAGTATGCAAAGCACAAAGTAAAACAATTTCATTACGTTAAAAAACAGAAAATATTACAACAATTATATTATCCCACAGCAGGCAAGCGTTTTATCTCAAGCCTCAAAGTACCATTTGTAGGAGCAAAATAATGCCTACTAACAAGAATCAACCTCAAAGAACTCAACCAAAATCGAACTTTGTTCTAAATTGGGAAAGAGATTTAAGATGAATTTAACCTCTTATATAGTTCTCGAACCTTCTGCAAAACTCAGAAGTTGGCATTCTGATGGCTCCATTTCCTCATCATTGTAAAGGAATGATTTCCTCTCTATCAATTCAGCCACTCTTTTGGTTGGAGCAAATTAGGCACAATTAGGAGTAGGCACGGTCCGGTTTGGTCCGGTTCCAAAGGAAACCGAACCGAACCAAATACCAATGGGAATTTTAGAAATGGAACCATTGGTTTCATAGCTAACTGTGGAACCGAATCGGAACCGAACCAATTGGTTCCGATTCGATCCGGTCCGGTTCTTTATGTTAAAAATGTCGAAATAAAATGCTTACTAATAAAAACTCTAAAAATGCTACCAACATGATACTTTTAACAAAATATAGAAGAATCGAACATATTATTCAAAGATTTATTTAGGTATAAATTTACCAATTGAAAACAAAATAAAAATCATGTAATCAAAGTGAAAACAAAATAAAAATTTTGTATCTTATAAATGAAATTATATATTGTAAATAAATTTATTTAGGTATAGATTTACCCAATATTCTAATTAGGCTTGAAAATCAATTAATCAAAGAATTATAAGAAGAGATAAGGAAAGAATCAAAGAGAAGAAGGAAAGTACTGAAGTCTAAAATTAAGAAGGAACCCAATTATTTTTTATAAAAGTATTGGAGATTGAGTCATATATTTTACAAAAAAAAAAAAAATCTAATGAGAACCATCTGTTTCCCGCAGTTCCCACACTAAAATCGGGAACCGGACTGGAACCGGTCGGTTCTTAAAAATTTGTCCCGAAATCAAATTGTTTTTTAGAAGATCTGAAACCGAATCGGCCGGTTTTAAACGGTTCCGGTCCGGTTCCACCGGATTTGGGAAAAAGTGCCCACTCCTAGGCACAATCACTCCGAACAAAGGAGATGTTGGAATGTGGAAGCGAAATTATCCAGAAATTAGAATTTTCGTTAATTCAATAAACAAGATTGTCTAGATGTGCACGTGTATGTTATATGAAGAATAAATGATTCGAATTTTTATCTAAATTTGATGATCAATTCTTGAATTAATTCTAAACCACGAACTTTCAGTTTTTTAAATCCAAGAACTTGAATTTTCAAACCTTCAAGTTTTCTATGGTATTCTTTAAAATCAAGACTACATTGGTGAGTTGACACCTTATTTTAATTAAATCAGGAAACTAATTCTTGATCTGGACGGTCGATAAAAAAAAAGAAAATAATTTTTTCTCTCTACAAATTTGAATACCATGAAATTATGTATTATGAATGTTGTACAATTTCATATGATGTTTAGGTTCAATCTAATAGAGATAGAGGAGTTCCAATCCTTATATAATAATTTCAGAAATTCCTATTAAAATCCATGTATGAATTTTAATTAAAGTCCAAATCCAATTAATTTACATTTAATTACATCTATAGTTCTAGAATTTCAATTATAATCAAGTTTATAATTATCTTAATTAATTTCTAATACTTTATGGAGCTATCATAGGAACCTGCTCGGACATATATTATCCAAACTCCAATAATTAGATTCTATCTAGTTGAACCTAAACCATCCATTCTAATTATTAGTCTTTTCTTTTTCCACTAAAGGCAAAAAATTAAACTCTTAGAAATATATAAGATCACAGAAGTCAATAAATTTATAATACTTTCATCTGACTTGCCGTATATGTATTTTACCCCCATCCAATATCCGATAATTAGGTACAAGCATAAATGATTGTTTTGCTATTCTAATTATTCTCACCAACTTAAGTTTCATTTTATTCAACGGTCCTGTGAATTAATCATAGATTTCGAAATTAAGCCTTCGCTAAACACCGAGCTCAGATTTTAACCATTTAACAGAAAATACTTAAGTTGTCACTCTGCCCATTTTTTAGGGTGACAATTTCTGATCCAAAATCATGTTCTCTACTTCGCTCATTATCAAGTGTCCAACTCATCGAGACATTTAACTACTGAAATTGATCTCACTCATTGATGAATTAAAAAGCTATTAAAATTACGAAAATATATACATAATCATGTCAAGGGATTTAGATGAAATATATATCAGTCAAGTAGAATTTAATTTTTCGTATGGTTATGCTATAGAATTAAATCCGATATGCGATTCAATACACTTCAAAAGTACTAGTGTCACATTTAACTATTTTTGTGATAATGATAAATTACAAACCTGAACAGTGAATCGGTCAACACTACATCCTTCTAGTGAAAGGTGTCAACCCTTATACATTGGTTGTGAACAAATTATTTATGATCAAAATATAAGTTGTGTTATATTGTACTTCTCAATGTAAGTACCCAGCTTATATTATTTCAAGTGATCATAGGCAGTTTAATTTTCATGCTAAAAATAAATAATGCAATACATAAATAAAATCACAACTTATTTATTATAAATAATTATTTTATCGTAGCAAAATATACTATATGGGGGCACAACCCAACAAGTTTTTCACTTGTCCTAGAGTATATGTGTTATGTCTTGTAACCTCGCGTCTTGCAGATGTGCCTAGAAAACTTAGTCGATAAGCTCCTAGTAAACGAGTCTACAAGATTATCCCAGTAGCAATCTTACTGACAACCACATTTTCTCTGCCAACTATCTCTCCTTTTTTTTCCAAGATCTTTCATATAAATGGATCACTGAAGCTTGCAGACTTTGCTTTCATGAACAGGTTCTATGAATTCGCCTGGTTATATCATATAGATACATTTCTCAAAATGTCCATGCAAAAATGCTCTCTTAACATCCATTTGCCACACCTCATAATCAAAATGAGCTGCAATAGAGAAGAGAATCTGGATAGACTTAAGCATAGCCACTGGCAAAAAGGTCTCCTAGTAATCGATGCCTTCTCGTTGGGTAAAACCTTTAGCCACTGGCCTTGCTTTGAAAGTTTCCTCTTTCCCGTCTACTCCTCTCTTTCTCTTATAGACTCACTTGTACCTGATGGGTTTTATCCATTCTAGTGCATCTATAAGTTCCCAGATCTGATTGGAATGCATAGATTCCATTTCAGTAGTCATAGCTTGTTATATAAATCTGCATCCACATCACTCATAGCCTCTTTATATGAAGTCGAATCATCAACTTGTGTTGTGGAGATAGCCTGATTAAACTCTCCAATGAACAGGTACGTAGAAGGTCTGATAACCCTCAGACTTTGTCTAAGGGGCAATGGATCTTGGATTGTGGCATCGTTTGTATCAATGTTGGTATCACCATTATATGGTTTTGTTACTTCCTCAATACCTTTAACATTTACATGATCCATAGGATTGGATGACTCATCTCTCCCACTCAAAACACATTGCTTAGGTATTTCTGACACCAAGGATTGTTTGTCATGGGATTATGTTTTACGAATTGATGGGGTGGAATTATTCCCACTTTTTTCTTTCAACACGACCTTACTTTTGAACTTACGTTCATTAATATATTTATCCTTTAGAAAAGTTTCATTTGTGCTAACAAAAACACTTCCTCAATACCTTTAACATTTACATGATCCATAGGATTGGATGACTCATCTCTCCCACTCAAAACACATTGCTTAGGTATTTCTGACACCAAGGATTGTTTGTCATGGGATTATGTTTTAGGAATTGATGGGGTGGAATTATTCCCACTTTTTTCTTTCAACACGACCTTTCTTTTGAACTTACGTTCATTAATATATTTATCCTTTAGAAAAGTTTCATTTGTGCTAACAAAAACTTTTTTTTATCTAGAGGACTATAAAAATAATATCCTGTGGTACCTCTAGGGTATCCCACAAATAGGCATATCTGATCCAGACTCCAACTTTTTCACCTTTCCTTTCAGCATATAAGCCGAAAATCCCCAAATTCGAATGTAGCGTAAGCTAGACTTGTGCTCATTCCACAATTTTGGGAGAGTATTGGGAACCGACTTAGAAGGAACTAAGTTAAGAACATATGCTGCTATTTCCAGTGCATATCCCCAAAATGAGGTAGGTAGAGTTGCGAAACTCATCATTGATCTAACCATGTCTAAAATGTCCTATTTCTTCTTTCTGAAATGTCATTCTGTTGGGGTGTACCCGATGCACTCAGTTGAGAAACAATACCATTTTCTATCAAGTAGTCCCTATATTCTCTTGAGAGATATTCGTCACCTCGATCTGATCAAAGTATTTTAATACTCTTACCCAAATATTTCTCGACCTCAATTCGATACACTTTGAATTTTTTGAAAGCATCTGACTTTTGAGCCTTAGGTAGATGTATTTGAATCTAGTGTAATCATC